CATAAACACATAAATAAGAATCTATCCATTTGTTGTAAAATATGCAAACACCAATTTTCATAATGATTTCATTGCAAGGAAATAAACAAATAAATAAGTCAAACGAAAATTTATTTTATTTATAAAAGCAATGGAAAACATTTGTCCTTACAATGCAAAATCCATTGAAAACTATGTATTTCAAAAGGAAAATTTCTAACAACTCTATCATAACTATCTAAGCTCAAAATCTAATCTTCAAATTCATGCGATCAAGATCCATTTCTTCGTGATTAGACTCATCTTGCTCTATTTCATCAAGCTTCCTCTCCTTTCATCGATCCTACAAAACATTCAAATGCAATCTTATCACATCATGTATTAAGAATCAATGAATAGGAACTTAACAGAGTTAGATAGTGGATTTTACCTGAAGCGCAACCATACACTTTGACTCTCCCATCTTCTGGACTCTTCAGGCTCTTTGGGCAGACTTGTATCCAACGCCCTTTCTTTTTGCAGCAAACGAAGGTCGGTTCTCCTAGAACGTCCTTGGAAGCATGGTCGGTTGACTTTCCCAACAAATACGCTCCATTGCTTTGCCAAATCATTTCTGATTCAGCAGCAATGAGCATGTAAGTTAGGTCACACTACAAGAAAAAGACCCTTTAACGACGCGCAAACCACGACACTCATTGATTTATGTTACGCAAAAGAGAGTGACATTAAAAAATTGTCATCTCTTTAAAAAATTTAAGGATTTAGGTCACGCATTATTGCGTGCCCTTAAATTAGTGTCTAATGTAAAAAAATTAAAAACACGGAGGGCACTTTATCTAAAAATATGTGCCCTCTATAAGTGTCGCTTTATAATTTTAAAGAAAATCGTGTTTAGTAGATACGGGGGAAACGAAATCCCCAAAATTTTGAAAACCCGCTTTTCTACCTTCTTTCTTCTTTCATCTCCGGCTCTACGCAATCGATTCTCCATTCTCCCTCCTTCTCCATCTTTTTCTGATCTGCTTCACCATCTTCAGTAAGTCAACCATGGAGAACTACCAAAAAATTGAAAACCCCCGCCTGATACTCATTGTGTGGATTCTAATATGTGATTTTTAGTTGTGAGGTTCCTGAAATCATATTTTTGACCTCAATCGATATTTTCATATTTTTGAAATTCCTAAAATCCTCTTCGATTAAACGAAGCCCTAAAACCCCGCCTCATACCTACCTCCACCACCTCCAACCCACACCGAATCTTTAGGCATCGCACGACGACGATATACATGCCTTATCGACCAACACTTCATCCACCATTACCATTTGTAGCTCTCTCACCCCATCCTCACTGTTAAACCTTGCGAAATCCTTATATAACATTCCGACGACAATCAGATCTGGCGCTCTATGATTGTCGACGGGAGCAAAAACCTAATTTCAAGTCAATGGCCTGTGTGTATATTCTGGTACAGAACTCGGAGGAGGAGGTACGAGTGGCTTTGGACCAACTTCCTAGAGAAGGCAACTGATATCCTTGACATCTTAAGGCCGAACAAGTGCCTCTCGATCTTATTTCACCATTTATAGTTCCATTACAGAGTTTATAACTATGAACATGTTCTGAACAACAAGCGCCTCTCGTCATGCTTTTTCAATTGCGGATTCTGATTTTAGGTCATCTCCTCTCCTCGCCTCTTCTTTGTTTCTTTTCTATTCTACTTCTACATATATACTTCTTGTACAGAGGATTAACATTATTCCATTCTTAAATATTTATAAAATCGGTATTATTTGAAGTTTGGTGTTTATAGTTTAGTTAGATGCGAAAATATGGTGCTCCTTCTTTAGTCTATTTATTTGTAAAGGGGATTTTTCTGACTTGGGAACCAAAACATACGAGACTGATGAATGGTTCAAACCTAAGCATCATTGATGAAAATTTTCTTTATATGACACTTCTATTTTATTTCTTTTGCCAAATTGGCGATCTTGATATTGATCTTCCAATCTAATGGGAGAATTTGAATAGAGATCTATAATTAGGACTTAGAATTGAGAAATGTTTAATAGCCTCGGTATGAAATTTCATAGATTAGAAGTTTTGTTTCATATATAATTGTGTAGCAGCATATGAATTCTTAGAAATTGGGGAAGAACAGCATCCTGATTATAAATGCATTTTTCAAAATTTTGAATTGGGGAAAATTTTGATAATTACGTTTACACTCTTCTCTCAACCATATCCTTGAGCAGATTTGGAACATTCAATTTCTTCATAACACTAAACCTATTCTTCTATCAAACTTAATGATTATATGAATTCTTCAATTTGTTTTCACATCCACTGATCCAAATCTTCTTCAAATTCAACAGATCATGCCTGGGCAGAAGATTGAAACAGGTCATACATACATAATCCATGATGTTTGTATGGATTACTATGGAAAACGAGTAGCATCCATCTCCTCTGATGCCACAATCAAGATAATCAGTGTCACCACCACCATCAGCACTGCCACCTCACACCCCTTACCACATTGACATGTCAGAATGGTCCAGTCTGGCAGGTTGCATGGGCCTACCCTAAATTTGGGTCCCTTCTTGCATCACATTCTGATGGGATTCTTCTACAGCACATTCTGCTGGGGGATTCTACAACCAAAGTACCTTCTTTTCTCAACTATATAAATTATTTTATGGGTATGTCTAATTTAGTTTTTTTTAATGTTTGATCAGATTATGAATTGAGAGGTTACAAAATTAGTGTGGGAATGGCTGAGAAATCTGCTCCAAGGGCTCCTCATGCTCATTAGCACAAGTCAAAATTTGATATCACTGGGTCAATTTTGTATGTTATTTCCTAGTCTATACCTGATAGAAAAATTCCATATAAAATATTAAATTTCTTAAAAAAATAAGTAAGTAGCATTTGAAAATATTAGTTTATAAATTATTCTTTGATTTGACAAAATAACAATTAAAAAAAACTTAAAAACTAAGTTAAGTTGTAGCATACCAAAAAACAATCTATAAATTGCAGGAAGTATACACAGTTAGTGTGAATAATATGTTATTTTTGCTACTTTAGTAAGTGATACTATATTTGTATTTTTTACTACTTCAGGGGATTGAGAAATTTGAGACATATCTTAAGACCATGCACCCTAGTTTGACTGAATGCCGTGTTTTGAAGTCAAAATTGGAGCTTTCTGTGATCCAATATGCCAATGGTATAAGTTCTGAAGCTCACACTGAGGTATATATCATTATCATTCCACTATGTAATGACTAAACTGAAATTAGCTCATTACTAAATAATCTTTAATTTCTCAGTGCATATTATAACATTATAAGTTGCTTGTATATGGTGATTTCATCTTTTGGTGATATTAAGTAACTACTTTTGGAGTAGGTAATGAGGAAAATGAAACCGGAAATGAAGAGTATCAGATGGAAAAGCATATTTCTTCACTACACCAAAACTCTTTTGGTTATCATCTAGAAGAACTTCATAATTTTTCAACCCAACACCAAAAGTCGTTTTTTTTTTTTTTTTTTTTTTTTTTTTTTTTTTTTTTTTTTTTTTTTCCGTTGTTGTCCATTTCATATGTGCTACTGCTCCAAAAGTCTTGTGCCAGATTGGGTTTATTTTTATTTATGGTTTTATCTTTTTTCAGATTTCCATGTGGCTGTTTTTTTTTTATCATGGAATAGAGATATATGTTTACCCTTCCACTTTGCCATTTGCCATTGGTGTGGAAAATCATCATCATCATAGACGTGGTGTAAGGAAATCGGCTTCTAGGGAGGGTAGTAGTAGTAGTAATGACAACAATTTACTATATTGCCCTGATGCTATTGACTTAGAAGACAAAGATTTTGAACATTTTCAAATGCATTGGAGAAGAGGCGAACCAGTTGTGGTTAAAAATGTCCTAAAAAAGACATGTGGACTTAGCTGGGAACCAATGGTGATGATGCGAGCTTTTAGGAATGCTAAAAAAAGGTTAAATGAGGAAAATCAATGTGTCAAAGCTATCGACTATTTGGACTGGAATGAGGTAACTTTTATATCCCTATCTTTTAAGTTTTAACAATTCGTTTTTTTTTTTATTTATTTGCATAAAAAACTTGTGTTTTTTTAAATCTTCTATTTATTTTCATAAATATAAAACTCTAGACTTTATGCATCATCACGACTCAGTTTTTTCATCTATTATTTGTAGGGAAATGTTTTGGAACATATACTAATGTTAGGTGTTGAAAGTCAATGGGCACCTGTTGTTGTACATTGTGCGGTGAGATAACTTATTCCATGTGCTTTTGATTCATACGTTTTATACTTAAGAAAAAAATAATAAAAAGATATGAAAGTAGGTTTCTATTTGAGATACATACATAGGTGATCTGATTTTTGGACACCAAAAGAATCTTGAATGCATAGGTGATCTAAAAGATCCACAACAGACAAGAGATGGACAGGTTTCTAACCTTCGTGCATAACTTGGGGTGATAAATGGTAGGTTTTTATTAAAAATTTGAACTTTTTTAGATTTTTTTTAATGTTGTCTATTTTCTCTCCTATTACGTTTGTCTGAATTAGAACTTAAAAGAAGAGATCTCAGAGGCCATTGATCAGCTAATGGAAGTTGAATATGAAGTCATTATCACATGTTGTAAAAAATTCGTTTATTTTATTCTTCACCCTTCTACAAGCCTTTTTAACATGTTGTAGGAACCTAAACCTAAGAAACAGTCCACTCCTACAGCTAAAATTGGATCGAATAAAAACCCTGTTAGTAAACCTGTAAGTAGTTCAGATGAATCTGAATTTGAATCTTAATCATCGGATGATAGTGATTCATCAGATGAAGAAGTGAGTCAGAGTGTAAATCTCTTGGAACTTGGATACAGTTTGTCTAATTTCACATTAATTTTGTCACTTTTTAGCAGCATTCTCTACATGATACATGTTGTTCTCCACTTTTCTAAGTATTCTTCTATTTAATTTAGGAGGCGCCAAAAAAGCCAGCTGCTGTTGCCAAGAATGGTGCTGCTGCAGCCACCAAGAAAGCCAAGCGAAGTGATGCGTCTGATTTAGAAGACAGTTCAGATGACGTAAGAGAGCTTTTTGGTTTTGTGTAAAATTTTTACCGAGTGAAGTGATGAGTCTGTCATAGTTAGTTTAAATAAGGTAGTGTGTTTGGTATGCAGTAATCAAAGAGGGAATGGAATCAAGCATTACAGTGTAATCTGATTCCTGTAATTGTTGATGCAATTGATGCTGATTTCTTATTGTAAGTGTTGTTGCACTCCTCTGTTGATTTCTAAAAGATACCAAAGGGTACAAATGTTTTTTTTTCATGAATAGGAGCTATTTCTGTTCTTCTTCTTCTTCTTCTAGTTGTTGCACTTCTCCATTCTTCATTATGGACACGCAGCAACTCCAAATGACAGGGCATAATTAATTTTACTTCGTTTATTATATAGAAGTTTATTTAGTGAATTCTTTTGGTTTATCGTCTAGAAGAACTTCATACTTTTTCAACCCAACACCAAAACTCGTTTTTTTTTATCATTGTTGTCCATTTCATATGTGCTACTGCTCCAAAAGTCTTGTGCCAGACTGGGTTTATTTTTATTTATGGTTTTATCTTTTTTCAGATTTCCATGTGGCTGTTTTTTTTTTATCATGGAATAGGGATATAAGTTTACCCTTCCACTTTGCCATTTGCTATTGGTGTGGAAAAGGGGTTTAGTTTCAGGTGACAAATGTTCCTCTCTTTTGGACACCCACTCAAGCATGTGTTTCCTTTTTTTTTCTTTTTCATGGGTATATTTTCTCTTTTCAAATTAATGTTTGTTTATTTAATCTTTATTTTATTTTTATAATTTATGTAAAAAACGGCAGCTTAGACGAAATGTATAATCATATATTACTTAAAGACCAAAATATTTACTATTATAATCAATAATCGATTATCTCGTTTCATGACATCACTTAAAGTTTTAGATAAAAGATAAAGATTCATTTTTTTTGTCAATTCATATAAGATTGTTTTATATATTTACTAATTTATACAGAGTATTTTTTTTATTAATTTAAACACTTGACACAAATTACACATTTCAACCAATTAAACAAGTTGTAATTAAAGATGATGATAGTTTGTAGTATTAGGTATATATAAAGTCACAATGCCCCATAATATACTCCACAAATTAATATTTTACCCATTTACCAATATTGAAAGTATGTTGCTATTTTCATCAATTTTCCCATAACATACTCAATATTGTACATGTATATTTGCATATATGCAGGTGGGTGTATGAAGGAGTATCCTTTGGGAGCTGTACTTGAAGCCACCAAAAATACTTTGATTCAAGGCAGTACAAAACACTTATTGGTAGATCATTTTGATTCCACTCTCATACATACATACATACCATGTGCATTATTAATTAGTTGATATTGATATTGTACAACTGACATGATTGCAAGGTTGATGATGAAAGTGAATAACTCTGGAGTTAGAAGAGGAAAAGAAAGCTCAAGCTGAAAGAGATAAGATGCTGCAAATGCAAGTGTTGCATTCTTCATTCCAACTGTTAGTATGAAACACGGAGTAGATTAGATGAATGCAAATTTATATATTGTAAGAAATAGAATTATATGACATTAAACTTTATGCAATGGATTTTATTTTTTTTGTATATGGTATTTTATTTCTATTATGAGACATTAAATACAAATTTAATTTGAAAATTAGTAAATCTATAAATAATGTTTTTTTTAAACATTTAAAATTATGATACGCAAAAATGTGTGTCATCTTCATTTATGGCATGGCCTTTCTTGACAGGAGCTTTCTTGATACGCATTGCGTGTCATTAACACGCGCATCGTAAGGTTACGAGACGCGAATGCGTTTCGTCTTTCTTTATGACAAGGCCTTCCTTGATACGCATTGTGTGTCGTAAACGCGCGTCGTAATTGCGCGTCGTAAATGAGCGTCGTAAATGCGCGTCGTCTCTCCTTATGACAGGGCCTTCCTTGACGCACATTTGCGCGTCGTCTGAGCCTTTTACGACGCGCAATGAGCGTCGTAAAAGCCTGTTTTTCTAGTAGTGTCAATGAGGTTGTCGACATGATCCATCATATAATACTTTCTTTTGAACTCATTATATGATTCAGGAAGTGACTACAAAACGCAATTCACATCCAACTCATCTGGGGATGACACACCCAACATTATCAACCTATCAATGTGTGATTTCATTCCTAGAACGTGGGCACACACGAGTTTACCATCTTCATGTTTCATTTTCAATAGGGCTTTAGTGATACTGAATCATTCAATTCTTCGATCTTGTGGGTTAGGGAGAATAATTGGAGGAGGTGGAGGAAGTGAAGCACGATTTCTTGTTCCTCGATCGAATCGTCGAATACCATCTTCATGTGGAATGCTTGTTCCACTAGATTTGGGAAGACCATAGTTGTTGTCCATTTCATATGTGCTACTGCTCCAAAAGTCTTGTGCCAGACTGGGTTTATTTTTATTTATGGTTTTATCTTTTTTCAGATTTCCATGTGGCTGTTTTTTTTTTATCATGGAATAGGGATATAAGTTTACCCTTCCACTTTGCCATTTGCTATTGGTGTGGAAAAGGGGTTTAGTTTCAGGTGACAAATGTTCCTCTCTTTTGGACACCCACTCAAGCATGTGTTTCCTTTTTTTTTCTTTTTCATGGGTATATTTTCTCTTTTCAAATTAATGTTTGTTTATTTAATCTTTATTTTATTTTTATAATTTATGTAAAAAACGGCAGCTTAGACGAAATGTATAATCATATATTACTTAAAGACCAAAATATTTACTATTATAATCAATAATCGATTATCTCGTTTCATGACATCACTTAAAGTTTTAGATAAAAGATAAAGATTCATTTTTTTTGTCAATTCATATAAGATTGTTTTATATATTTACTAATTTATACAGAGTATTTTTTTTATTAATTTAAACACTTGACACAAATTACACATTTCAACCAATTAAACAAGTTGTAATTAAAGATGATGATAGTTTGTAGTATTAGGTATATATAAAGTCACAATGCCCATAATATACTCCACAAATTAATATTTTACCCATTTACCAATATTGAAAGTATGTTGCTATTTTCATCAATTTTCCCATAACATACTCAATATTGTACATGTATATTTGCATATATGCAGGTGGGTGTATGAAGGAGTATCCTTTGGGAGCTGTACTTGAAGCCACCAAAAATACTTTGATTCAAGGCAGTACAAAACACTTATTGGTAGATCATTTTGATTCCACTCTCATACATACATACATACCATGTGCATTATTAATTAGTTGATATTGATATTGTACAACTGACATGATTGCAAGGTTGATGATGAAAGTGAATAACTCTGGAGTTAGAAGAGGAAAAGAAAGCTCAAGCTGAAAGAGATAAGATGCTGCAAATGCAAGTGTTGCATTCTTCATTCCAACTGTTAGTATGAAACACGGAGTAGATTAGATGAATGCAAATTTATATATTGTAAGAAATAGAATTATATGACATTAAACTTTATGCAATGGATTTTATTTTTTTTGTATATGGTATTTTATTTCTATTATGAGACATTAAATACAAATTTAATTTGAAAATTAGTAAATCTATAAATAATGTTTTTTTTAAACATTTAAAATTATGATACGCAAAAATGTGTGTCATCTTCATTTATGGCATGGCCTTTCTTGACAGGAGCTTTCTTGATACGCATTGCGTGTCATTAACACGCGCATCGTAAGGTTACGAGACGCGAATGCGTTTCGTCTTTCTTTATGACAAGGCCTTCCTTGATACGCATTGTGTGTCGTAAACGCGCGTCGTAATTGCGCGTCGTAAATGAGCGTCGTAAATGCCCGTCGTCTCTCCTTATGACAGGGCCTTCCTTGACGCACATTTGCGCGTCGTCTGAGCCTTTTACGACGTGCAATGAGCGTCGTAAAAGCCTGTTTTTCTAGTAGTGTCAATGAGGTTGTCGACATGATCCATCATATAATACTTTCTTTTGAACTCATTATATGATTCAGGAAGTGACTACAAAACGCAATTCACATCCAACTCATCTGGGGATGACACACCCAACATTATCAACCTATCAATGTGTGATTTCATTCCTAGAACGTGGGCACACACGAGTTTACCATCTTCATGTTTCATTTTCAATAGGGCTTTAGTGATACTGAATCATTCAATTCTTCGATCTTGTGGGTTAGGGAGAATAATTGGAGGAGGTGGAGGAAGTGAAGCACGATTTCTTGTTCCTCGATCGAATCGTCGAATACCATCTTCATGTGGAATGCTTGTTCCACTAGATTTGGGAAGACCATAGTTGTCAAACTTAGACATCTACAAAACAGGAGAAACAAATTCAAGTTAGTTGATTGATTGAGTCCTTAGTAAATCACCCAAATGAGATACTAAGACTAGGACCCAACACAATATTATACAACTCGGGAGAGGGATGTCGTAACCCAAATTGCAGAACATTTGAAGGTAAGTGAATGCCGATTCACTAATTTCCACCATGAAAACGAAAAACAAATTTAAGTTTTAAATCTATGAAATCTCCTAGATCCTTTGAGATTCATTGAACATTTCAATGGCATGTTTTAATCTCGATATGCCCCTCTTGTTTGTGACAGGGATGCCGAGGATCACAAAGCGGGTGTTAATAACCATGCAAACTTACATGGTGCCCTCACATGTTACAATCACCTATTCGATGTGCTGGTAAACCACACACGCTCCACCGAACTATGACAAACATTGAGTCACCCTTTGCTACCTTTGCTTAGAACCATTTCGTGTGCCGGTAAACCACACACGCTCCACTAACGTCTTCGCAAGGGCACAAAGTGTAATTTCATGGAATTGCATCAATTCACTTTGCCTAAGTAACTAAGATTGGGAATTTGAAAAAAATTTAGTTACTTTTTTACTTCATCATACTTATAATGGAAGGTTTCGTCCTATCCTACCCGTTCGGATAACGACCCTCCACTAGTCAAGAGTGCGGTGGGTAAGAGTGGATACCTATTCAGTCGCCATATTAT